CTGGAATGTCGCGGGCCCTGGATCTGCCCGAGTATGAGGAGGGCAATCGCGGTCACTGCGATGTCACCCCGACGCATCTCTTACATCACCGAGCGCATGGAGTGGTTAGTTAAACTCCGGCCGCGCATTCCTTGGCCGGCGGCTCGTCACTGGGCCCCGGGCGAATCCGTCACCCCGGGCGCCGGGCCCGCGGCCCCTCACCCACGGGACATCTCATCGTCGCGCGCGCCTCGATCCACGGAGCTCACGGTCGCGCGTCCTCTCCTGTTCGAGTAAGGCCCACATGGGCCGCCGTGCGGAAGGCCGGGACGCGGTTACGTACGTGTGCCTGCGTGCCTGCGTGCCCGCGTTCGCGTGTTAGTGCGTGCGTGCGTGCGTGAGCACCGCGGCGCGCGCCTTCCGTCCGTCCGTCCGTCCGTCCGTACGTACGTCCGTTCGCTCGCTCGCTCGCTCGCTCGCTCGTTCGAACGAGAGGAGGGCCCGCGATGGACTGGCCTTACCAAGTGCTCCTACCTTTGGGATCAGGTCCCAGCCTCTCTACGATGTTACCTCTACGCGATCCTACCCGCACACCTCTCTCTCTCTCTCTCTCTCTCTCTCTCTCTCTCTCTCTCTCTCTCTTGCTCGCTCTCGGTCGTACGCGCGCGAGTGCGCTCGCGCACCTTTTCGCTCTCGCTCTCTCGCCCGGCTCGCTTTTTCTTTTTCCTTCCCTCTCCTCGTGTCGCTCTCTTTTTCTTTCGTCTTTTCATTCTTTCACTCTTCCATTCTGCTACTCTCTCACTCGCTCGTCCACTCGCTTCCGTTCGCACTCTGTCTCTCTCTCTCTCTCTCTCTCTCTCTTGCTCTCTCTTGCTCTCTCTTGCTCTCTCGCTCTCTCACACACACGCTCAGACTCTCTCATTCGCTCGCACGCTTACTGTATGTATATGCGTATACCTCTCTTTTTCTGAATATCGTACACAACGTAGGTCCGAGCGGAAAACAAGCCACGAGCTACTACTTACTCTCTCTCTCTCTCTCTCTCTCTCGTTTTAGCACGGTTTTGCGTATAGATCGGCTTTGCCGCGGATTTTACACTCGTTCACGCGGCACGACTGCGCGTACACACGTCTCTATTTACGAAAGTCTCGAGGGAGCCAATGATATATGCACTCATAACGAGGGCCGCTTTCAGATTCGAATTTCGCGCCTCCTTATTCACGCGTCCTTTTTCCCCTATCTGCAGCGGTCAACTCACCGTTCGTTGATCGGGGCCTTTTTCTTATTTCAATCTCATGGGCCTCCCGCTCTCCTTCTCGCAGCTCCGATGATCGCGAGTGTTCTTTTCTCTCGTTTTTTCTCTCTCAATTTTCCGATATGCGCTATTCTCTCTCTCTCTCTCTCTCTCTCTCTCTCTCTCTCTCCCTTTCTTTTCTGTATGTATTCTTTTTCTTCCTTTGATTTTACTTTTCCTTTTCTTCCTCGTTCAGGGCAGTGGCTCCTAATGTGACACCGACGACAAATAACCATGAATATTTATGTCGAAAAGGAGGTGAATTGGTTTGTAAGAGCAATATAACCCAATGTCCTTATTATCCCCCAAAGACGAAGGGAAAAGGAGGCGAGAGCCCAACGTAATCCGAGATGAGGTCGCTTCTACGCGATGTACCGCAGCGATGAAATATACCTTCGTAATCGCGCACCCGTTCTCCTTGTTGCAAGGTCATCGCGATACTCGCTTACCGCGGTCACGAATGTCTCCTCCAGTCACATCCACAGTACACTTCTCTCCATTTCTCCGAGATGCGGTCCTCGACCAACGACCGATTGTTCTCGCGCTACGTCTGGTATTCCATAATCCACAAAATCGACGACTCGATTTGTCCGGCACGTACGCTCGTACTTTGCATATCTTATCGGTCGCGAACGACATCCGATATCAAGATCCATTGTCCGAGCGGCGACAATGCCGAACTCAGCTCACGGATTCCCGGCGAGTGACTCCGACAGCGATAAGCCCCGAAAGAAACGGAAAATTTAGTTAATTACGCGGGATAAGTGAGTCCTAGTCCAAGTGCGAGATAGAGAGAAAGAGAGAACAAGAGATAGAGAGAGGGAGAGAGAGAGAGAGAGAGAGAGAGTAAGCGTGAGGGGGCGGGAGGGAGAGACGATAAATACACAACGTCCCGTTATTTATATGAGAGTGCGAACTAATCGAACGTCGCGATTCAGAGTCGTCGAAAGCGCCACACAAGTCGATGTCGCTAATCCGCCACTTAAGGGAAGAGAGAAAAGAGGCGGGGTTCCGCGACCGTGAGGACCTGCGACGATTTTCGCCCCAGAGCTCGAGGCCGTATGCGTGATTATGCGTAATGACATGTAATTAATAGCATTTCGACGCGACAGGGCTCCTCTCCTCTTCTTCCCCCCACCCGTGGCGAGCCTCACCACTTTGTTGTCTCGTATTTTTTTTTTCTTCCCGAGGTCCGAGTGCGCCGGACGCGTTCTGCCCGCGGGAGTCTCGGCTCTCTTCGAATCCCCGCAGCCCAACCCGCGTCCACGGCCCGAACGCGCACTCCCTGACCTCCCACGAATAATCGATGCGTGGAATCCACTATAGACGCGCGCTTCTCTATTTTTCGCTCGTGTCTCGCACGAGGGCCTGCCACGACGATCCCCGAGCGTGTTTCCACCGGCGTGGCGGGTCGTTAAACGGCGCTGCCCAGGTCCGAAAACGCCGGCGAGCTCCGCATGGAAAATTACACGTTCGCAAATGTCAGTATGATGAGTTTTTGGCATCGCTTTACGAGATACGCTCAGGCGAATATCTGCCCTCGGCTGCATATTAGCTCGGTATTTCTGAAAATACATATTTCACGCTGAAAGAGAAAAAAAAAATTATATTAAGGCGCCTGCCCCTCCGTAATAAGTCAATTATTTATCTTAATACATACACTTTTATTACAGTTTAAATACAGATAAATAATAATTTTAGTGTACAATATGCAATCTTTTTTACTGCACTCGTAAAAGCATTTTAATTTTTCGAGAAATCGGTTGCC